ATGTACTCAAGGCCAGAAGTTTGGCCCCAGATCTGAACTTACCCAAAGTTAAAGAAACCTTTGGATCTGAATTTTGGGTCCCAGGATGTATGAAACATATAGTGTGTCTATTCCTTTTCAGGATAATAAACAATGCTGTTGAGTTTAACAGGAAAGCTTTAGTTAATAACCCGTGTTATTCCATCCTTTAAAGACAAAAGTGAGGGAGATGGAGGCATGGGAACAAGTGTGTGTTTGTATGTGAATGTGTTTTGACACATTTCCCCTGCTTCCTTATTTACAAGTGGCAGCAAGATCCATCTCCATTGAGCTGTGCCACACACCTGGCTCTGATATGCTCTAAATACTTTTTCGCTGAATATTACGGTATTTTTAGAGGAAGAGCCCTACACACTGATGCTTTCAGAGTTGTCATGCCCTGGAATCCTTGTCCAGTGGCTTCGCTGAAGTGCTATGGCAGTAAGTAAAGAGACTCTTGAAGTGTTTCAAAGTAGGGATCACAGTTTAGCTGAAAGATAACCCCACAGATCAATCATATCCCCTGCCATTCACGATCACATGACATCACCGAGTGCCTAGAGCAATTGCTCCCAAGGAAAAGAAATCTTATGAAAATGTTACATTCCTTTTTAGTTTTTTGAAATGTGGTTTGGCAGCTAGCAACACCGATGAGGAGCTAGAACCACAAGCCCAGGCAGCACTATGCAGGTCACCCACCAGTAACACAGACCACACCATGGGAACCACGGATATGTCAGAATATTCTGGTTGCTTCTTAACAGGGAACTGGAACTCTATTCAATGCATTGTGTGCCTCTGCAGAATAACACTAAGCAGAAGGGAAAAGTCTGCTGACTTGGGAGGAAAGGGGTCAGGTCCCTACCCCTACAATGTAGTCCAGGTGACTTGAGACAGGATTGTGCAATTTGGTTCACCCAATTGCTGTCCTTTTAAAAGTTTGACAACTGTTCCTAGTGAGCAGGTTCTCACATACCTGACATCCATCTTAAATAAACTTAAGAAAGTTGTGCAATAAATATTGTTAGAGCTAGACCAGGGCTGAGCCATTCACATCTTGGTCAAAACTTTTCTAGGTTTTACTTAGCTCTGGAAAGTGAGAGAAGTCTATACTGAAGCTCACGTTTGACTTTCACGTGGGTCAAGGACATTTTATAAATACAGGATACTGGCCCGGGACCATCTTGGTGCATTGCTATTTTGGACTTTGACATTGAAAGGCCAAGGCCTACTGAAATCAGTGGCAAAATTTATGTTGTTTTCACTGGGACCAGGATTTGATGGCAAAAGTTGAAGTACCAGCTTGATGCTGTGCTAACTGTACCAAAGCTTTCCCTAGAAAATAGCTCAGGACACAAGCAAGCAGTAGGTTCAGAATTAAAATTTAATCTGATTGAACAATGACTGGGAAACAGGAAGTGAAAATTGTCAGCTGTGCCCAGATCCATTCAGCTCACTTCAAGGGACAGTTTTGATACCAAATTATCCTTGTTATGCAAATTTCCTCACCAACCGGCTGGTTCCCAGTTATGCATGGGGAGAAGCAGTGGCCACATCTGCTTCCCGTTTTGCCCTTTCAGAGATGAACCATCTGTTTGGCCTCATCCCGAACAGCCTGCTCAGTGCTGATTAACTTCCTCACCCAGCCAGCCCAAGGCCTACTGTGTGCTGCAAGGTGTAGATTTTTTTTTTCTAACTGCTTATAAACCAGAACCTTCACTTCTCTCCCAAGGGACAGGAAGGCGTTGGTTTGTGTGATTTGCCGTCACCACCAGCAGCAGAAACAGCACCAGCAGCTGCCCTCCCTCCCTCCCTCCCTCATGCACTCCCTCACTCACTTAATGTGTGTGGCTTGGACAGATAAAACTGGG